TAAACGCGGATCCCTGATGAAAACGTAATTCGTTTAGCGTGTCGAACAAACGTATTTGGAAATCCGGTCACATCGAAATTCGATTCGCGATCTAAAGGGAGATCTACTTATTGTTAGACGTATACGTACCTGGAAGTCAAGTAACCAGGAAACAATGAAATATCTCTGAGCTGACTTTTGTGTCTCGAAATCAAGCGAATGTTCTCGATTAATCGTCGCTCCTTCTTTTTCCTTCGCTCTTCATTCTGAATATATATATATATATATATATATATATATATATATATATATATATATATATATATATGTATATGTATTACATATTTGGGTTCCGGAACACGCTTCCACAGTATGTACAGGATATCGATTTGACCGCGGAAGGCAAATTAAAAGTTTGGAAATTTTGAGAGAAACTTCCGCTAGAGGAGTTTTCTGGAAGAGGAACGTATATAGAACAAGATGGTCGGAATCGAACGAATTGCATCGGAAGTTTTAATTAGATTTTCTTCCTTGGAAAATTACATGTGAATTCGTAATGAAGTAGATTCTAAAAAGTTGTTTGTTATTTCCGTGAAACGTAGAAACTCCGATACGTTCCAAGTTACGAATTTTACTCAAAAAATAATTTGATACGATGTTGAACGCGTTGAACGTAGCATAATGAAAATCCGATTAACATGTGACGTGTTTGACTCGTTGCAAGTGTGTTATAAAGAGCTTGTTATTTCCATGAAACATAGCTAATACATCGAACCAAAGATCGATACTTTATTATTTTACATTTTCCTAAACACAATTTTGAAGAGGAAATCCGACGCGTTCCAGGTTATGAATTTTATTCAAAAATAATTCGATACAACGCTAATATAGCAAATAAATGATCGATTTTTTTATTATTAAACATTTTCTTTAACAGTTTCGAAGAAAAATACACGTAAATTACGAATGTTATTCAAAAATATTTTCATACATCGTTCCTACATTGAACACAGTTTTTTCAAAAAAAAAAAAAAAAAAAATCCGACGCGTAAGTTACGAATTTTACTCAGAAACAATTTGTGACACAATCAAAATCTGATTAGCAGACGTTAGCCTAAAGTAGATCCTAAAAAGCTTGCGCATTGAACGAAAGATCGATGCCACGTTAATTTACATTTTCCCGAACGCGAAAAATGTCCGAACGCTTTCTTGCGCTGCGAATTTTCATTCCGAAATAATCTGATACGAAGCGTTGAACGTGTCGGAGGTAGCATAATGAAAATCCGATTAGCAGGGCGACGCGTTTAGCCCGTGCGTCGCACGTTGCCCGTTCCTGAACCCCCTCGAACAACACCCTACGATTGTCTCGCCATTTTTTTTCCATTTCCTCTGTCCGTGTAGCTTCTGCCCATCACTGGCGGTGATAGCCGGTATTTTGCGGCTGTCGGACAATATAGCCGGCGTGACGATATTGGCATTTGGAAACGGTGCTCCTGACATCTTCACGTCCCTCGCATCGGGCGCCGACGAAGGGATAATAATGTTCACGGAATTAATCGGCGCCGGTGTCTTCGTGACGGCGGTTATCGCCGGCTCTGTTGCGGTAGTCAAGCCCTTTCGAGTCCTGCTGAAACCCCTGATGAGAGACGCGTGCTTTTACATCGTCTTCGTCTGCTGGATCAGCTACGTCATCCGAGACGGTACCATCTATCTGTGGGAGGCTGTCAGTACGTATGTACATACACTACTCTTTCATCTCTTGCTCTTTCTCCATCTTTCTGAATTAGGCTGCCGAAACGCGCTCGATTCTTGAAATTTACAAATTTCCGCGAAACCTCGACGACGCGTTGTAGCTTCTGTTTAATCATTTCTGTTCAATTTTCGCGTCTAATAGTGCTACAGCGTTTAATCGCGATACTTAGTGGAACAGGATGGAAAGAAAAGTTTGTCATAGATGAGATTTGACATGTCGAATATATACATGTGAAAAATCTGTCTTGGGATTGGCCAAGAAATTGACCTTGAACTTCAAGGTTAAAACTTTATTTTTGATTTGTATTCTACTCACAACGAAGGTGAAACTTTTCCAAGGAGTCTAATGATGCTTTTGAAAAATGGCAAAAAAGTTTCTTAATCATTTAACACTGCGGTGCTGACAGCGACTTTATGATTCCTTTATGTTTCCGGACGCGTGGATGTCTGTTTCACGTAATTATCACTAACATTTGATTTATCACAGTTGTGGCACTCAAATGATGAAACTAACTGTTAACGTTATTCAAAATATAAAAATTACGTGACATGGACATCCACGCGTCCAGAAACATAAAGTCGCTGTTAGGACGCTGTAAGGAACATTTTTTCTTCTTTTTCTTTTTTTGACAAAGAGTTCTGTAACACGCTGTGTCATTTTTTATTTTCCTTTACACACAAGACAAACGATGGTCAAAAATTTATATATATATATCGTCCTAACAGCGACTTTATGTTTCTGGACGCGTGGATGTCTGTTTCACGTAATTATCACTAACATTTGATTTATCACAGTTGTGGCAATCAAATGATGAAACTAACTGTTAACGTTATTCAAAATATAAAAATTACGTGACATCCACGTGTCTAGAAACATAAAGTCGCTGTTAGGACGCTGTAAGGAACTTTTTTTCTTCTTTTTCTTTTTTTGACAAAGAGTTCTGTAACACGCTGTGTCATTTTTTATTTTCCTTTACACACGAGACAAACGATGGTCAAAAATTTATATATATATCGTTCTAAGAGCGATTTTATGTTTCTGGACGCGTGGATGTCTATGTTACGTAATTTTTATATTTTGAATAACGTTAACAGTTAGTTTCATCATTTGATTGCCACAACTGTGATAAATCAAATGTTAATGAAAATTACATGAAACAGACATATATATAATAGCAAAAGTCGAGGACCGCCTGCACATCTTCGTTCTTTGAGAAAAAGAAACCTTCTTCGTAAGTTCAGCAACAAAAGCATCGAGGAGAGGGAAATAATAACTTCGGACTTTGCCGATTGGCGCGAAATTATCCGAACGGAGTGTGAAAGAGATACCAAACGGGTGGAGAGGGGAGGGGGAGGGGGACGGTCAAATATGCGGCGCTTCATAGAAACGGAAAAGTTTATCCACGGTGGCCGCGCGAGCCATAAGTATGCAGTTTAATTCAGCGTTAACGATAACTCCGGGGCGAATTTAATTAAGCAAAGGCGCGATCCCTCTGCCACCGTGTGCCGGCTTCCCCGCAATTTGACCGCCGACGAATATCTTCTATACGGATCGCCGTGATCCGTAAGCCTCTCAAACCACAGAGAGATTAAAAAAAAAAAAAAAGAAAAAGAAGAAAAACAGCGCGGCGAGATTGCAAAGAGAAAGAGGGACAGAGAGAGTTAAATCGATGATTAAAAATTATCGGGTATAATTTTAAACGAAAGAGAGAGAGAGAGAGAGAGAGACGCTGCAGTGAAAATTTCCAATTTAAAAAGAAAAAAAAAAAAGGAAAAAAAAATTTATCCGCTTTGTCGGTCCCTTCCTCGAAAAGGCTCTCGCCATTGTTAAATTTTAATCGACAGATTTCCAGCGGTACTTATCGCTCGAGGAACCGAGCTCCGCTGTTTCGAAAAATAATTTCACGCACAATGGGCTCGCGCGGACGAAACATCTGGCCGGCGGCAACGCGGAATAAGTTCCCTTTGCCGTTGCCTAATTCAAGGAGAGATTCACAATCGCGCCGCAAGTTTTACCGTGTCGCGTCGCGCGCTTTTGTGGCGATTAATTACGCTGACTTTCGTTGGCGAGCAAGGGGTCGCTGCGCACGCGGGGCAATGCTTTTTAATGCTGATACATTTTAATTGCAGGCTTTGTTCTCTACTACCTATTGTTCATCGGCGTGGTGGTGATAATGCAGATATACGAGAACCGGGAGGAGAGGCTAAAAAGTGAGTGAGGTTTAATGCCGCGTAACTTTCCGAAACGCTTGACAAAGCGTCATTCACCGGTGTGGTTAATACTCGCAGCCCCGGACTTTTCCCCGAGAATTCGCCGGCGCGAAACAAAGGACCTCGCATTCAATCCCGGACAAATCCTCCATTCGAAAGAATATAACTTTTCTCTAGATTTTTCAGCTGGTCTGTATTGTAGCCTGATCTCAATACGAGATCGCCGCGTAACGCGAATTTTGTTCTTGAATGGGACAGGGTGAACGTACATAAATCTGAAGTGACAGATGAGATCTCGAAGGTGTAATTCAATTAAGAAGAACGGGAGTGGTGTCGCTCGATTACAATTACACGCTGCGACGAGCAAAAGGGGAGCTCGTCGATGAAAATCTCTCGAATCGGCTGGATCGACGTGGCGGGCGATATCGAATCGTGGATGACGAGACGTTTTTCCGATAGAAAAAAAAANNAAAAAAAAAAAAAAAAAAAAAAAATAATAATGGAACAAATATTTATTCGATTTCACAGCTATCTGTATCTATCTTGTGTGTTTCTTCTAAAACAATATGGACCTTGTTTACATTACAACTGCACAGGCTGTTCACGCCATTAGCTGCCTCCGTGTGTTCTTCTCTTCGACACGGTAGATCTCCGTGAGAAATGGAAACGACGCACAGTTTTCAATGTTCTTTTCAACACGTAGTACGATCTGACCCGGATGAATTTGAGAAATTTGTCGAACACTTTACCAATTACTAATCGCGTCACGTTGTCGATTGTCTTTCAATTGTCGACAGAAAACAAAAAAAAAAAAAAAAAAAAAAAAAAAGAAGAAAGAGAGAAATATTTTGCTAAAGAAGACGGCGGTTATCGTAGGAGCCGTTTGTTTGTACGCTGCCGAGTCTTTGTTTGACAGATACCAAGCGCAGTGTTTGGCATGCAACCGAAGTCAAACATCATCGCGAGCGCGCGCGCGATGTTCGAAGGCATTTCGAAACGAATACATACACGTGCTTGCGAATACAAAAAAAGGAAGCGTTCTCTACGCGAGTTGTAGTTATTGATCCTCTCTGGCTGGAAGGCTTCCTTATGTGTTTTCACAGGCAGAATCCCAAGTGTACCTGATCCAGATATCCTGCGCACTTACTTGGTGAACAAGGACGCGGCCGCCATTCCGAAGATTCCCGTGAGACCTCGTGCCGTTAGCTTGCAAACTAAGATGGGTATGCATATTGCTTCCCCCGATTGATTATACACTTTTCTCAACTTCATTGAATTAAAATTGAGCAGCTCGTTCTCATGAATTTTTAAGCGGGGAACATCTTTCACGGCTTTCCAAGTGAAAATATAGCGGCTTATTTGCATGTTTAAAGTTTGTATCGAAAATCACAGGGATAATTCCCCTGTAACGAGGAAGAACCTATTTAAAAATGTAGAAACTGAAGTGTGTCTGAAAGTTTGATTTTCTGAGTTGAATGCAAACGCGTCGTTTCTCGCAGGAAAACGAAAGGAATATATCAAAGAAAGAATTGTTACTTTCTTTAATGATCCCTGTACTAATGTAAAATCTTCCTTTTACTAAAAAATTATTGTTGAAAAGAAATTGCTGTCACCATCGAATCATTCGAAAGCATCGTGTATAATCATCAGCGCACTCGTGTATAATACAGGGTGACCACTGAAAAATTGAAGGGCAAAAATTTGAAAATGGCCCGTATTTATGAGCAGAAGGACGGTCATTTGAGGGATGCTGTTTTCCACACATAATATTGAAATTATTTACATTTCCTTATTACTTAATTATATTTCCAAACAAAATAATGAAAATTTATAAAAAACACGTAAAGTTATGTTTAGAAAAGTTATTTTTTAAAAGTTAGTTTTATATCATTCATATCAAGGAAACTATTTATATTTCCTTATTATTTAATTATATTTCCAAACAAAATAATAGAAATTAAAAAAAAACGTGTGTTTGGTGAAAGTTATATTTAGAAAAGTTATTTTTTAAAAGTTAGTTTTATATCATTCATATCAAGAAAATTATTTATATTTTCTTATTACTTAATTATATTTCCAAACAAAATAATAAAAATTTAAAAAAAACATGTGTTTGTAAAAATTTTGTTTAGAAAAGTATTTAGTAGTTATTTTTTTAAAATTAGTTTTATATCATTCATATCAAGAAAACTATTTATATTTCCTTACTATTTAATTACATTTCCAAACAAAATAATAAAAATTTTTAAAAAACGTGTTTGTAAAAATTATGTTTAGAAAAGTTACTTTTTAAAAGTTAGTTTTATATCATTCATGTCAAGAAAATTATTCATATTTCCTTATCATTTAATTATATTTCCTTCTTGTTTAATTATATTTCCAAACAAAATAATAAAAATTTAAAAAAAAACACGTGTTTGTAGAAGTTATGTTTAGAAAAGTTATTTTTTAAAGTTAGTTTTATATCATTCATATCAAGAAAACTATTTATATTTCCTTATTATTTAATTATATTTCCAAACAAAATAATAGAAATTTAGAAAAAACGTGTTTGTGAAAGTTATGTTTAGAAAAGTTACTTTTTAAAAGTTAGTTTTGTATCATTCATGTCAAGAAAATTATTTATATTTCCTTATTACTTAATTATATTTCCTTTTTGTTTAACTATTTTTCCAAACAAAATAATAAAAATTTAAAAGAGCATGTTTGTAAAAGTTATGTTTAAAAAAGTTATTTTTTAAAAGTTAGTTCTGTATCATTCATGTCAAGAAAATTATTTACATTTCCTTATTACTTAATTATATTTCCAAACAAAATAATAAAAATTGAAAAAAAACACGTGTTTGTAAAAGTTATGCTTAGAAAAGTTACTTTCTAAAAGTTAGGTTTATATCATTCAGTGAGCACCCTGTATTCTGGCAATGTTTGCCGAGCAATAACTGAACAACATCTCGAGTAACGGTGAATATTTCCACGTGTCAGATGTCGCGATAGCAATTGAACAGATGCGAGACAGAACGACGCTGACCTCGGAGGTTGATGTCGCGGAGAGACAAGAAGTCAACAGGCCAAAGGGACTTCTCAAGGAATTCCTTTACGACATGAACCCGATCGGTGAAGAGGACTGGAGAACAGCGAGCCGCTTCACTAAATTCATTTTGATCATACGCTCGCCGGTGATGTTTCTCCTCCAGTTGTTCGTCCCGGTAGTGAACGTGACCGCGGTAAAGAGAGGCTGGTCGAAATTGTTAAATTGCTTCCAGCTGTGCGTGACACCGACGATGACGTTGTTTCTATTAAACGGTTAGTTGTATTAATTGTCGCGATTTCTACGCCACGCCGGGCCGTTATAAATTGCCACCGCTAATAAAAGCTGGCCCGGCGAGATTTTTGCGGGGAAAAATTTCCCACCCGCGATGAAATATAAGCTTCCACTTTCCTTTTTTTTTTCTCTCTCTCTCTTTTTTTTTGTAACGCGCGCCAACTGCCCGCTGTTTGTTCGAAATTAAAGTCAACTGTCACACGATGTTTATACACCGTTTTCATTTATCTACTTGGTAGCTGCTGCACGTCCGGTGCGAGTAATTTTGCATTAAATAAATAATGATGATGACGATGATGATAATAATTTTCGTGGCTACTTTAATTTTAATTTTTGTTTAATTTCAATCTTCAAGAAAGCTACTGCTCTCGTTAGTCGAAACAACGATTATTACCGCGGTAATAAATACTTGTCAAACTCATTCATTTATCTATGATAAATTGTGACGAAACGTCTGGTGCTAGAAATTTCAAGTAAATAGTAATAATAACTGTTCGAATATTTCAATTTACAAATAAAAACTGTACTCATTTTGCTCGTTATTATACGTCTATCAGGCAAACGTCTGTTTGAAAAATCTAGGAGATTTAATTCTCTGTTACGAAAACCTATTCTGCTCATTGGTCGAAAAGACGATTATTACCGCGGCAATAAATATTTGTCAAACTCATTCATTTATCTATGATAAATTGTGACGAAACGTCTGGTGCTAGAAATTTCAAGTAAATAGTAATAATAACTGTTCGAATATTTCAATTTACAAATAAAAACTGTACTCATTTCGCTCGTTATTATACGTCTATCAGGCAAACGTCTGTTTGAAAAATCTAGGAGATTTGATTCTCTGTTACGAAAACCTATTCTGCTCATTGGTCGAAAAGACGATTATTACCGCGGCAATAAATACTTGTCAAACTCATTCATTTATCTATGATAAATTGTGACGAAACGTCTGGTGCTAGAAATTTCAAGTAAATAGTAATAATAACTGTTCGAATATTTCAATTTACAAATAAAAACTGTACTCATTTCGCTCGTTATTATACGTCTATCAGGCAAACGTCTGTTTAAAAAATCTAGGAGATTTGATTCTCTGTTACGAAAACCTATTCTGCTCATTGGTCGAAAAGACGATTATTACCGCGGCAATAAATACTTGTCAAACTCATTCATTTATTCAGTTCGTAACGAAACGATTCTGGCGCGAATAATTTGATATCAAGTAAAATAGTAATAATAATAATTCCGCGAGCACTGTAAAATTTACGAATGATAGTACGTGTTTCGCTCGCTGCCACCGTCTATCGGGCAAACGTCCGAATTCAACGCATTAAACATTTAAGCCTACGGAATAGTTGATCCCCCGCGTTGCAAGACAATTTATCGCGCTCGTTGGTTCGAAACGACTGTTTAGAAAACTCTTTATTACCGACCCGGTAATAAAGAGTTTTTCTCGAAACTTTTGCCCTTAGGTTTGAAAATATTTTTCGGCCAGCCGTCTCATTCCGTATCCTCGTTTCGTAGTTTGGAGAGCGCATTTTGGCCCGGTTTCAGTGGTGCCGATATTCTTGCTGCTCGGCACCGTAATTGGCGTAATTGTGTTTCTAACGACCAAGGCGGATCGCGTACCGAGGTATCATAACGTGAGTGTATTCCTTTTGTTTCTTTTTTTTTTTTTTTTTCTATTCCTTTCGAGTTCTCGCGCCCTCGCGCGAACGAACGCTTGATACGATACCGGTTGGCTCGGTAACGACCCGGCGGCGTTTTTAATTGCAGGTTTTCGCGTTTCTCGGATTCTTGGCCGCCATGCTGTCTGTGTATTTGGTAGCCCGGGAGGTGATGGGAGTCCTCCAGTGCGTTGGATACGCTTGCAGCATATCGGACGCGATGCTCGGCATTACGTTCCTCGCGTGGGGCAACAGTATCGGCGGTGAGTGTTTTGGTGAATTAAAAATATTTTCGGCCAGCGCGTGCACTAGGGCTGTCCCAAAAGTGTCCGACCTCTGCTGGTAGTTTAAAACATACCTCATTTCCACGACGTCACCTTCAAAGTGGTCCCCTCTATGACTTTCTTCTCGCGGTCGATCCACTTCTCGAAGCAGTCCTGCAAGTACTTTTCTCTTGTGGCTAGCAGCTGCTGCGTTGCATTTTGTTTCATCGCTTCGACGTCGTCGAATCTCCAGTTTTGGGAACGATCAAAAATCACATGGTGCTAGATCCGGACTGTACGGAGGCTGGCGAAGAATGCCATGTTTTACTAAAAAAATCTTGAACAATGAACACTCTCTCAAAGATGCGGCTGTTTCCTCCGTACTGCGTCACGCAGTCGCTTCAGCACTTCTAAATAGTTATAAAATAAAAATATAAATTTTTTATTTAACTATTTTGTTTTTAATATTTTGTAATTTATAATAGTATTTTATTTTTCAATATTTATTTTTTAATTTATTAATAAATAAATTTATTTAATAAATTAAATTTTTATATTTTATAAATGTTTATTATATATATATAATAATATATATTTATTTTTTTATTTTATTTAGTTAATTTATAATTAAATTATTTATATAATTATTATATTATTATATTATTTATATAATTATTTAGTTAATTTATAATTAAATTAATAAATAATTAATTTTTACTAATAAAAACAATTATAATTTATATTTTTATTAATGTTAATAATATAATTTTTATATTTATATAAATACTTTTATTTAAATTTGATTATAAAAATTTTAAAATAAAATATATTTTTAAAAAACTTTTTATATTATTAATAATAATTAATATAACATATATATTTATTATATATACATATAAATATAATAAAATTATTATTTATTATTTTGATAAATTTTTAAATAAATAAAATAAATTTTATATAATTATATATATTTCTTTTAAATCAGTTATTTTATGTCGCATCAACTTCGTGGGTTATTAGCCACATCAGAAGGAGGTATTTTTTATATGTTGTTATGGATCTTGGTGTGTTTCAGATATTGTAGCAGGCTTGATAATGTTCCAATTATATTTTATATTTTTTTATATTCAATTTATAAACCTTTCGAATCATACGAATTGTCTACCGAACAAGCGTGACCAAGTTTTTGGCAAATTCTTGATGCAAATCCTTTGCTCGGCTCGTTCCGTCATTGCATAATGCGACGCCCAGGGAATTTGACGTTCACAGTCACTGCGTATTGCTTTTAAAAATATATTTTATTTTAAAATTTTTATAATTAAATTTAAATAAAAATATTTATATAAATATAAAAATTATATTATTAACATTAATAAAAATATAAATTATAATTATTTTTATTAGTAAATTATAATTATTTTTATTAGTAAAAATTAATTATTTATTAATTTAATTATAAATTAACTGTCGACAGAACAGATTTAGGCTTCTGTTAATCGGTAACTCCCCCCTAATTGCTCCGTGCCTGCTTTTTACAATTGGATGCCCAAGGACAAAGTCACGTATACGCGGAGGTCGGATACTTTCGGGACGGTCCATGTAATTAAAATTATAAATTAAAAAATGGAACCTTCGAACAGATCTGATATCAAACGTCACGATCGCCAGACGAGGATTCCCACGGATGGCTTACGCGGCTTGCTTCGGCGGGCCGATGTTCAATACGCTGTTGGGATTGGGGCTGACTTACGGATTGGCGGCCGGCTCGCACCCAGCGCGACATATAAACATGAGAATGAGCGACATGGCACCTGGCTGTTTGGCTTTCCTCCTCTGCTCGCTGATATCCACTATTATCTATCTGAACATCACAGGCTCTATCGCTCGGAGATCGTACGGCTATCTCCTCTACTCTATATACTTCGCGTTCCTCCTCATTCAGTTCCTCAGCGAGCACAAAGTGATTCATCCGCTGGGTACCGATCATCGACCGTAACTGCAGTTACGAACGAAATTCTTAACGAGCGGCGGTGGATGGATCGTGACTTTGACAAGGGTGACAGAATTTTCACTTGAAAAAAATCAGTTGCACGTTGCTGCAATTATTGGCCGCGCACGAGCAATAAATATAGAATTAATGATTGACGGCGTTGCGAGCGAATCGAATCAATCGACTTTCGACTCGTTCGTCTTTGATAATTTATTTAGCGACAGTCGTTTCATACATACGCGGGCGATGTAATCGATGGGACAACATTTTCTATGTTGCGTCGATTTTACCTTCCTCTCGCTGTCCACATTTCCGCACAATATGGACTCCATGTTTATTTAATGGTAACAGAATGGTTACGTTGCCGGAGATTGTCGCGACTAAAAAACTCCGTTCAGCGAGTCTTGCCAGCTCAAAACGAGACAGTTTGAAGTTTTCAATTCCCTCGTAGAATGTATTTTTTATAGTTTCCGTCGCAACGATACATGTTGCAGGAAGTGAAAGAGGCGCAACCTCGAGGAGGTATATATTCACTTAGGGGAGGGTCGGGATAATAGCGGACGAGGAACGTTTCAGGCCACGACGTGTTATAAATTTTTTACGTACGGCGAGGAGGCAGAGCCCGGGTAATAAGTGATATCATCGTCGAATCCACCCCCATAAATTATTTAAGGAAGAAGAGAGAGCCGCCGTGGAGAGGAAGAACGAGGGGCACGTGGGCCTGAGCCGAGGAAAAAAAGGTTTTTCTTTGCCCCCGCTCACTCCCCCCGTAAACGACGTCTGCAAATGAGCGAACGTAGCGAACCATGTGGACAGGGTTACATTTTTAATGGGGCAAGGGGCTGCTAACGTAAGCATTCGAGAAAGACGCTACGTTATTCGAACGCACGATGCAACGTTCGGCACTTCTCCCTGACATTTCCCTCGGGTCCAGTCGAGGTGTTGCGTTTTTTCCCGAAGCAACATTATGGCAACGACGCTTTTTTTGCAGACGAAAAAAAGAAAGAAAAAGAAGAAGAAGCGAAACTGCAATTTTGTTAAAGCACGGTTCCGCTGTGTACACACGGCTACTTTTTGCAGTTTTCTATGTCTCCCCCCGTATAATTTAGAGCGATTCGACACGTTTAATTGAATACGTAATCACGCGAGGAGCGTGTGCATAGTAGATGAAAGAGTAAGAAGTTGATATTTTCGGTGAAGAGGCAATCAACGACCTGTGTTTTTTAATACTTCGGCGTCGAAGAAATTGTTTACTAGGGGCAAGTAATTTTCTTTATCGCGAAGAAGATTTGTTTCTGAAATTGCCTCTGTTTCGCAGGTAATCTGCCGTATGATTTTGTAGGTACGAGAGAGAAACAGA